TTAATTTTAATGTTTTACCTACGTGACTTTACCGAAAAAAACCTAAGAATATTATCATTATTATTCTCCACAATGCCACTGATGGTTACATTGAGATTCGATGCAAGACTCGTGGCTCGAACCGAGCCATCGCCACAGTCTAATCGGCAGTCACAAGCCCAGCCCTGGAGCCCACTCGCGCGTCTGTTGGTGGCCGCTCTCAACTTGTGGGCTCATCGCGACTTCTGCATCGTCGCACCTCCGATTAGCACGGTGGGCTACGTGCATGCATCACGCGCATCGTGCAATCTTCTCGGCTGTGCTGTCTCGATATCTGCGCGTTCTCTGGCCGCTGTTCCTGTCTTCTGATCCCACATGTCGCTTTAAAAAGAGGCGACTAGTTTCAACGGGCTTATGATGACTGCTGGATCGGCGGTGACCGGCACGGGTTAAAAACACCTCGCTCAGTGGTCACGTGACACTCAGTCACCTCGCTCAGCAGTCACGTGACACTCAGTCACCTCGCTCAGTGGTCACGTGACACTCAGTAGTCACATGACAGTCACCTCGCTCAGTGGTCACGTGAAACTCAGTAGTCACGTGACACTCAGTCACCTCGCTCAGTGGTCACGTAACACTCAGTCACCTCGCTCAGTGGTCACGTGACACTCAGTCACCTCGCCCAGTGGTCACGTGACACTCAGTCACCTCGCTCAGTGGTCACATGACACTCAGTCACCTCGCTCAGTGGTCACGTGACACTCAGTCACCTCGCTCAGTGGTCACGTGACACTCAGTCACCTCGCTCAGTGGTCACGTGACACTCAGTCACCTCGCTCAGTGGTCACCTGACACTCAGTCACCTCGCTCAGTGGTCACGTGACACTCAGTCACCTCGCTCAGTGGTCACGTGACACTCAGTCACCTCGCTCAGTAGTCACGTGACACTCATTCATCTCGCTCAGTGGTCACGTGACACTCAGTCACCTCGCCCAGTAGTCACGTGACACTCAGTCACCTCGTTCAGTAGTCACGTGACACTCAGTCACCTCGTTCAGTGGTCACGTAACACTCAGTCACCTCGTTCAGTGGTCATGGCGCCGCCTGCATCAGGGCGTGGGGCTCGCGGCGAGGCAACTTTGTTGACAGAAATTTGCTCTCCGGGCGGGGGAGAGAGGGTACCGAGACAGGGGTCCGGCGAGTTGTGGGTTCACAGCCGAGGCGGGGATTGGGCCCCCCGTGGCTCCTGGGCGCCACAGGCTCCGCGTTCGGCGCGCCGGCGGTGAATGTCACGGCGTTATTTTTGTTTCAAACGCCCGAGCCGGGCTCGTGTCACGCGGTGAATGTCACCGTCGTATTTTCTGCGCCAGTAATTCAGAAGTGGCCAGAGATGTCAAGTTATGCTCTCCTTTTTTGGTTTAAAAAAACATTTCAGAATTAAAACATTTTCTGTCGTTATCTCGTCCGTGTATAAATCTCCGTGCGAGCACCCTAGCCTGCCGCGTGTCTGCACTGGCCAGAGAGACATGATCGCCTCCGTCGTCCGAGCGGCATAAATTACAGGATTAACGGTCAGCAGGAAGCCACGTGCGTGCGTGCGTGAGGTCGATAATGGCAATGAAATGAGCGTCGCGGAGGGCCGCGCGGTGGAACGCAGATAAACATTTCTCGAACTCGCGTCCCCACGGCGGCGCGGAATTCTTAACACTCCCGCCGCTAGAACATTCACTCGGCCGAGGCGAGGGGAGCCGCGCACAGATGAGAGGAGGAGGGGGCTCTCGGATGTACGGCGACTCCGAGATTTCGAGGAGAGTGAACTCACCCGTGCAAGGTTCGCGGTCGAGTTGGTTTACAGATTTAACCGCACGGAACGACCAAATTTCGCAGACGTAGAAGCTCGCTGAGTGGTCCGCACTGCTTTGCTACTCTGGGATATTTTGGCCGCGGATTTCCATTCGTGAGATTTTTAACATCGTGTGCGAGTAAACCGGAAACCGTGGGAGACCGAGCACCACGCATACGCTCTCGGCTCCGCAAAGATAGATTCAAGAATGTATTCTACTGCCATCTTCTGGCCAAGCCGCAGCCCAAGAAGACCACAGCTGACATCCCGAGACAGTCTCCCACTCAAGTCGTGTACTAACCAGACTCGACTCCAATCGGACTCCGAGATCGCACGTGTGCGTGTGTTGCTCCGTGCTCCATTGGGATGCCGGCCTCGCTCAACCTCGCGTGGTGGAGCGATCCGCTGATGCTGATAGAGCTGCTCCTGCTGCTGCTGATAATGATGCGGCAGCTACTGCTGCTTCTACTACCACTTCTGCTGCTGCTAAGGATGCAGCGGGCTGTAGTTGCTGATGATTGTACCGCGGATGATGTAATGATGCAGCGGATGCTGTTGCTAATAATAATAGTAATGATGGTGGTGGCGGTGGTGAATTAATGAAAAGCACGCACGCCTAACCGCAGAACGACACGAGCACCCTCTGCCTGGCAACACGCACACAGTGCCAAGCCCTCAGTGCTCGACGCAAACTCCTGAAAAGCTTCAATTTAATTTGAGGCGTCAACAGGGCCTCCCGCAAAGTGTCGGGATTAGGCGTCAGCTGCCGAGCGACGGGCGCGCCGCGCTGCAGTCCCCGCCACACGGGCGGCCGACGATTTCGTGATCGCGGCTCCAGCCGCTCGCGGCCAATTCCACCGCCGCTTGATGCCGGTGAGAGACGCGGCGGCACTGACCACGTCGCAGAGTCACGGCGGAGTCACGGCGTGCACGTGCGCTGCGCGTGACAGACACCGTGCCGGAGCGCGCACGCATCGCTATTCATGAGCGAGGGATTGAGCCGAAGGAATGCGGGGAACTCGCGGGGCCCAGCCGTCCCCTCTGGGAGGATCAGCTCAATAATGGATCTGCATCGTGTGGGCTTGAAGAGAGAATTTATCCGTGAGCCTTTCATCTCGCCTGCATTTGTTTCTTCCCTCTGCTCGCCCCCCTTCCTCTCGACACAGACCTTCCCGCTAAGTCTAAGGCGCCGAGACAGGGGCTCAATAAAGAACACGCTGACAAGCCAGACATGCCAGTCCATTAAGGCAGCCTTCATTTCTGTTGGGGGGGGGGGCGGAGAGCGGTGGTGGGTGGAGGGATTAGGCCACAGATAGAAACGTGCGCGCGGCATTATGCACGGGCGTTAGTCGCGCGCGCGATCGCTCCAACGCCCACGCTGCCGCGCTCTAACGGCGATGCTCTAACGCACACGCGCTAATTAAGCTGTGAGCAGGGCCGCGTTCCAGTTTTTGATGAAATAAAAACGCAATCTTAAAAGTATTCGTTGCCAATTTTACCCCAGCACGACATAGATATGGACATTGGTGTTGGTGAGCCTCGCGGTGAGTTTAGCAGCGGTGTTAGTGAGCTGTGTGGTGAGTGTCGTAGGAGATCGGTTCAGGAGTGGTGGAGTTCGTGTGGATGCTCGACAGCCGCTCACGTGCGGGGCACGCCGGGCGCTGCTGCCCCGGGGACTCGGTCCGGGGCGCGGCTGTGGCGGCTCCGAGCCGCGCGGCTCCCGGAGCGCGAGCCACGCGCGTGGGCAACGGAGCAGTGGCGGTTCCACCGAATGGGAAAAAAACGAATTGTAAGATAAAAACTGAGCGCAAACAGTCGAAGTCGTAATAATGATCGTTATAAATTCAAATTATTTTATAAGAAATAATTGGAACGATTTTCCCAGAATTGTTTTCTATAGCGCGGAATTTTTTTTAACCACCATAAAGAATTTGTATCAGATAGAAAATCATTTAAATCATTTTTAAAAATCCTTAAAAATTAAACAACAAATATAAATATAAGCGTAGTCGCTACCCCGAGTGAAATAAGAAAGCCACTTCACCCCGCTGATTATTTATGTCGTTTGATCCCTGCGTGTTGCTTTATAAATAGGTCACCGACTCCCATGGGAGCCACACGCTGACTGCACGACTCAGCCAATGTCGAGAGCCCGAGTCACAAACAGCCCCTTCGGGAGCCCCCCCGCCGCCGCCCCACACCCCCTGCACCCCCCATGCTCCACTTTACCCGGCGAGACCATTAATAATTGAACAAGAGGGGGGTGGGGGTGGATGGGGCAGCCGAGCGAGAGACGGATTCGGTCTCCCGCCCCAGCCGCCGTCGCTTGCGCACTCCAACACCGTTGTACCAGTTTCGAGCCTCAATTATCCCCCCCCTCCCCCATAATTGACGCGATGCGTCTCGTCCAGGCGCGTCCTGGTTGGTGCTTGGCGATTCGTGCGCGTGCGCTGCGTGGGTGTAAACCACTCGATGCATGCGTCGTGAGCGTTTTAATCGGGTTGACTAAAATCAACCCCTTATAACTATTTAACTTTGACCCTGATAATTGTATCCGAGTTATGCCATCGGTGTGACGTCAGGAGACGAATATTCTATTTGGAAATCTCGCGAACCAGTGCCACTCCCTGCGCGTGAGAGAACGGCCCACGGATAGAGAGATCACAGAAGTCCTCATCGAGTCGCTTCCAATGACCTCTGATCTCGCTTCTGCCCTGCTACAGTCACCCGATATATATTTTTTTTTAAATGATAAAATCTGTAAATGAGCCAAAATTAAACACACCACCAAATTACGCATTGATTGTTTTTGTTGTTGCGTGAAATCTTTGTGAACCGGGCTGAGACCATCAACCGACCCGACCCGAGAACGCGGTTCCATCAGGCGGCTTGCTCAAATTCACACCCAGGACGCCCGCGGTGCCAGCCCAGTGACGTAACCTCTGAGCCACCCGGCCACCTCTCCTAAAAATAACACTGTGTAACACAACTTCTGTTCCTGGGTACTAAGTATTATTTCCTCATTGCGTATGCCTCAAAAGTATAGAAAATAGCTATTATTCCCCACAAACTTTGCATTTGTGACCAGAACATTGATATTTTGAAATGTACATATTTTCAATGAGAAAACTGGCGAATGTGTGTCTCTTTGTTCATATAAAGTCAGAAAAAACATGAATCAAAATTAACATGTATTTATACTCAAGTAATACAAAAGTGACTACAAAAAATTTCGAAGCGAGTAGTTTTTAGAGATTTACGATTATACTGTAAATCACTTTCACGAATCAGCCCCCAAATGTAGTCTCCCATCATGTTCTCGTAAAACTGTCCTTGGTAGCGGCGTTCAAAGTCCAGTATATCCTGGTGGAAGCACTCGCCTTGCTCCTCCGAGTACGCTCCCATGTTCTTCTTGAATTTATCAAGATGAGCCTCAAGGATATGGACTTTGAGGGACATCCTACAGCCCATTGTGCCGTAGTTCTTCACCAGTCTCAACCAGCTCCGCATAGTTGTCGACATTATGATTGCCCAGGAAGCCACGAACCACTGCGGCAAAGCTGTTCCAAGCCGCTTTCTCCTTACTAGTAAGCTTCTTGGGGAATTAATTGCACTCCAGGATCTTCTTTATGTGGTCCGATAAAGACACCGGCTTTGACCTTTTCCTCAGACGGCTTAGGGAAGAAGTCTTGAAGGTAATTGAAGGCTGCCGACTCCTAATCTACAGCTCTGACAAATTGTTTCATAAGGCCCAATATGATGTGCAGTGGTGGCATAAGCACCTTCCGGGTGTCCACCAGTGGCTCCCACTTGACGTTGTTCCTCCCCACAGAGAACTCGGTCCGCTGTGGCCAGCCCCACCTGTGGTGGTGCGCCTTGGTGTCCCTGCTGTCGCAAAGACAAAGATAGCAGGGAAACTTGGTAAAACCGCCTTGAAGACCCATCAGGAATGCCATCATTTTGAAGTCTCCGATGACCTCCCAGCCATATTCATCATACTTCAAAGCGTCCAGCAAGGTCTTGATGCTGTTGTAATCCTCTTTGAGGTGCACCGAGTGAGCCAGGGAAAGAGATAGGTACTTGTTACCATTATGGAGCAGCACGGCTTTGAGACTCCTGGTTGAGCCGTCAATGAAGAGGCGCCACTCATTCTGGTTACAGGCGATTCTGATTGTCTCGAACAGACTGGCAGAAGCAGAGCCCATCTTGACGGGTCAAGAAACTGCAAAAAGGTTGGTGACGCTTCGTCTGATCTGCGACTTGCACACTTTCATCCAACAAGTTCCACTGCTTGAGCCTAGATGTCAAAAGCTCGGCATTGGACTTGGTGAGACCAAGATCCCTGATCAAGTCGTTGAGGTATTTTTGGTTGGGGTAGTATGGGTTTCTCTCATCAGCTCCACCTCTGAAATTGTCATCTGGATCTACAACGTCTTCCTCGCCCTCTGACTTGCTGCTCTCTTCTAAAGACGGCTGCTCTCTCCCCGGAGGAGTGGGTACGGGGAGCTCATGGCAGTGTGGCACCGGGGCGATGGATGAAGGAAGGCCCGGATTCGTGATAGCAGGTGCATTCATGACAGTCCTACGTTTTGAAGGGTCCACCATGCAGAAGTAGCAGTTGCTTGAGTGGTCAGTGGGTTCCCGCCAATTGTTTAGGATAGCGAACTTCATGGTTCTCTTTTCCCCTCTGTACCATCCTACAAAAATATTTATTTCACCCATAACTAATGTATAACAGATTCTCGTAACATTTTTCATAAATGATATTTTTTCAATAACATTGAAAATTGTAAAACATTTTTTTTAAACTTTCACAATTAAAAAAATTGTTATGAATTTTATAACATAAAATTCCGAGCAACAATTGTCCATCTTACCTTCCACAGTTTTTTTTGCATTGCTCGCAGGTGAAATGAGGTGCCCAGGGTTTGTTTGATCCCCGACAGGCATGCCGAAATATGCCTTGTAGGCCTCACACATCTTTGCAGATGCTTCCATAGAGTAGTTTTCGCTCTCGTCTTGATAAATTGGCCGCAGACACAACAAAATGCGTCTGCCGGATGCTTGCAGCCTCTTTATGTCATCTCAGAAAAATGCAAATATGTATCCACTTAGGCAGCTGGAACTAAACTGAACTGGTGGGCTTAAGGCCCCTGTATTTATGCTACTATTTATATTACTGGAAAGTTCTAGAATGTTATAGAAGTTACTCCAAGTTTACTCAGCACTGAACCTATCTGGAATATTCTGGAAAATAGGTACACTGCAAAATATCACTGTTCTGGTAACAAAAGCCAACTTTGTGGGGAATAATAGCTATTTTCTATACTTTTGAGGCATATGCAATTAGGAAATAACACTTAGTACCCAGGAAATTGTTTTTTTATTTTTTACACAGTGTAATCGATGTTAAAAATCGGGCTGCCATTCCGTCGTCAGCCTCGCTCATTCCAGCCGTGCTGCGTCCTGCCCAGCACCCCACTGACTCTCAATACGACGTCTCTGCGCTGCGTTGTGTCTCCGGATCCACCCGTCCCCTCTTCCTCTCTAAGTCACTTGCAAAAGCGTGCGTCGCTCGGAGCGTCGCGTGCGTCGTCAACTCGAGCTGGGACAATCGACGACGGAGACACCGCGGGAGGAGTTGCCGCGCCGCGCCCTGCGCGGTGGCGTGGTGTGATCTCTCGTGGCGTGGTGTGGTGTGGTGTGGGTGGTGTGGCCTCTCGTGGTGTGGCCTCTCGTGGCCTCTCGTGGCGTGGCCTCTCGTGGCCTCTCGTGGCGTGGCGTGGTCTCTCGTGGCCTCTCGTGGCGTGGCGTGGTGTGGCGTGGGTGGCGTGGCCTCTCGTGGTGTGGCCTCTCGTGGCGTGGCGTGCCGCGTTTTCGTGTCATTGAGCAATGCGCGCGAACTGCTCGCGTCGTCCCCGGGGCGGGTACCGCAACGAGAGACAGACACGCGGCTGGCTGGCACGGAGAATGGAATTGAAATGTAACGCAAAAAAGGGGGAGAGAGGGCAGCGGCAAGGGACGACGTGCAAACGCGTGTTCGTTTGTAGCCGCGAGACGGATTACACGCCTTAATAAAGCGAAAGCTTTTGGTTTAAACATGAAAGTGCGGAGTCGCGTGGTCTACCTTCGATATTTCTTACTCAAGGGCGACAGCCACAATCAACGACCACCCCCCCACCACCACCAGCAGCAGCACGCCAGCAGATGGACTCGATGTGTAGATGAGGGACCTCGCCTCCCAAGGTAGGGACACCCAGCGTCTCCGCAATCGCATGAATCTCTACATCACAGCTGTGCAGGAGACTCAGTCTATAATCACTCCGGGGGAGGGGACTAAATTGGGCACCACTTTGTGGGAAATCAATTGTAGTTGCAATTGTGGGAAACAACTTACCCTGGACATGGAATATGGAATTTCCACCGTGGAGATGAGCACTGTTCAAATTAAACTATTAACTTTTATTATATATTTTCGCAGTTAAGGCCCACGGAGCTGTATTGCACTTTTTTCAGAAGCGGCCTGGCCACAAATGTTAGCTCAACAAAGTGGCTTATCATGTAGAAATATATAGCAGCTAAATTATCTTAAAAGCATGTTTCTAAATGTGAAGGGAAAAACCGGAGGATCCGGAGAAAAATCCACGCGACCACGGGGAGAGACACGCAAACTCCAAATATATAGGCGTCAGGGTCGGGATCGAACCCACGACCTCTTGTATACCAGGCAAGGTAGTTAACATTTCACCACCGCGGCGCCCAAACACTTATGTTAGCATGAGGACTCGAACAAAATATATTTCACCACCACCACCAACAACCCACGATCGAGTCTCAAGATGGTATTCTCAGCACGGCGCTGCGTTGGGACGTTGAGCTGTGTCCGTCTCACTGAGTGTTTCCGCGTGGCACCAGCCCCAAGAACATCGACCCTGACCAAGGTAGCGGGTCAAAAGAAGCTGAAGATGATGGCTTCATATTCATTCCGCCCAGGGAACGAATGGGCGGGCCTTCAGACTGCGAGGGGCGTCTCTAGCACGGTTGGCTACGTACGGCGCGAAGGAAGTTCACGATACGTACACGTCAGGCATTGTTAACTGAAGAACAATAAAACTCGCGATCGTTCGACAAGTAGCACGCGGTCAGAACGTGCATCGGTTGTGTGTGTGTGTTACGAAGCTAAAATCACAACGGGCAGAAACCGCTGCTTTGCGCGGCGCACACACGGAGCACCTTTTCAAAACATAATTATTATTTATAAAACATTTAGCTACAATTTACGACGTCTAATTAGTAATTCCTCAATTTTTAAATGATCCCAGGAGTGCGCTAAAATGTTCTTGTCCGGTATTGGTGGAGGAGCCAATCAATGTAAAAATTACTGGATATTATTACTGCAAATTATGTCTGCGCTCTGAGAACTACCCTGGTGCGTACTACGGGCGAAAGCGGCCATAAAAATAACATACTGCCTTCGACGTTATATAAATACACATAAGAAACACATTCAGGGAACCCGCCTGCAGGGGAATGAACCGCTCCATAAAGCACAGACAGCCGTACCCAATTATTAAGTTCAATTTCCCAGAGCCCTGTCCGTGCGGTCGTGGCGCAAATCTCCCCATAAGCAGCTGGAGCAGCAGTAGCAGCCGGAGGGAGCGAAGGCGGGCGGTGGAGAGACGACAGAGTGTATAGACAGGCGGTGGAGAGACAGGCGGTGGAGAGGGACGGTGGTACAGTCACCGACTTTGGATGACATCGTGATATTGACCTTGAACAAGCAGCAGCATCAGCAGTAGTAACCCCGCATTGTGCGCTCAGTCGGTGTCTCAACACTGCGGTCACCGCAACTCTGTTCACCCATATTCTAATGTCAAGAACAAGTCAAGTCATTGCACGCTGCACACGCCCGTGCTTTACTCGACTCCCCGCCCACCCTTCCCCAACCAGCGAATCGATGATTTGTCACTATTACAACACTCGATTATAGATGGTTGTGTTTGCCCTCCCTGGTCCTGTGTGCTTTCAGATGCCATTTGGCGATGACATCGAATTCGGGTCGCCTCAAAATCCACTGAAGGCCTGTAGGCCGAAACGTCGTCAACGTCCTTTCCTTTCCGTGGCAGTAAAACAACGTTGTTATTATTGTATAGTAATAGGTTTTTACCCTTTCAACTGGTACAAAAACTGACACCTTTATACAAGGCATCATGTTTGCAATAACCACAACACAAGCAGTCAAAATGCAAACAAAAAGAAACAACTCTGATGATCATAATGATATGCACTGTCCTTGAAGTTGATTGGTCCACACCCGAGACAGCTTTTCTTGGAGCCTAGTCTCCATTGGTGTTGGACCAGATGACGCCAAAAGGCGTACAACTATTTTGCCACTGGTAAAGGAGGTCTCATAGTGTTGTTATTATTCTTTTAAATGCGCTGTTATTGAAACCGTTTCCGATAGACACCCACAGGACAAACGCCTTCCCTCGCTGGCGGCTGTCTGTGTTTAGAACGCTGGAGAGGAGACAAAGTCGCATCACCGAACCGCGACGGTCCAACTCTCCCAGGGATCAAACTAAACTCGTTCGAGGAACTTGGAGCTACCGCGGATTTCTTTTATTTTTATTTTCCAAAAGGCGCGTGGGTGGGTGCAGCTGCTGCGGCGGTGGGGTCCACGCCCCACTCGGGGGGGAGGGGGGGAGGGGCTCGGCCCCTCTCCGTGGTGCTGAAGTGAGCGTCGGCAGCAGACCGCCCTCCACTGGCCGAGAGGGATCACCGCACGGACAACAACAACAACAAGAGGCAAAGATCTCCCGTATCGCCGACATAGGCTGTGGGGGGGGGGGGGGGGGGGGGGGGAGTTCCTGTTCCCGAAGCGCCTATTGAGAGTTGCACGGCGCACGACGCGAACGGCGTCGTCTACAACACGACGCCCGGCCGCATTTGTCTCCCCAGTGGCGATGCTTATGAACCACACCGGGCACTCGTTCAAGGCTTAGTCCACCCTGTGTGATAACTCAGGACCGGTTGAAATATCACTCGGACCAAGGACCGATTCAGATATCACTCGCCACTAGCAGTGGCCGGAATCGAATTCAAGTCTTTGGGTTCGTAACTCCGTGCACAAACCATTGCGCCACCGCTCCCCACTTCATGATTGCAACATACTCATATAATCATGCATACTCATACAGTAAGGGAAAAAAAGTATTAGATCCCCTGATGATTTTGTACGTTTGCCCACTGACAAAAAAATGATCAGTCTATAATTTTAATGGTAGGTTTATTTGAACAGTGAGAGACAGAATAACAACAACAAAATCCAGAAAAACGCATCTCTAAAATGTTATAAATTGATTTGCATTTTAATGAGGGAAAAAAGTATTTGACCCCCTCTCAATCAGAAAGATTTATGGCTCCCAGGTGTCTTTTATACAGGTAACGAACTGAGATTAGGAGCACACTCTTAAAGGGAGTGCTCCTAATCTCAGCTTGTTACCTGTATAAAAGACACCTGTTCACAGAAGCAATCAATCAATCAGATTCCAAACTCTGCACCATGGCCAAGACCAAAGAGCTCTCCAAGGATGTCAGGGACAAGATTGTAGACCTACACAAGGCTGGAATGGGCTACAAGACCATCGCCAAGCAGCTTGGTGAGAAGGTGACAACAGTTGGTGCGATTATTCCCAAATGGAAGAAACACAAAAGAACTGTCAATCTCCCTCGGCCTGGGGCTCCATGCAATATCTCACCTCGTGGAGTTGCAATGATCATGAGAACGGTGAGGAATCAGCCCAGAACTACACGGGAGGATCTTGTCAATGATCTCAAGGCAGCTGGGGCCATAGTCACCAAGAAAACAGTTGGTAACACACTACGCCGTGAA